TTTTGAGCTTGGAATCAGCTCAAACTTGCTACATAGTTTAAGGACATCAATATGTATCAGAAAATGTAATAAAAATTGGGGGTGATTTCGGAGCCATTTTTTGGAAAAAAACCATGGGCTATAGCCTTGGGTAATTTTCAGAATTTTGGCGTTTTTTTTTAAATGGCTGTAACTCGAAAAATATTTGTCGGAAACAGCTCAAACTTGCTACACAGCATAAGTACATCAATATGTATCAGAAAATGTAATAAAAATTTGGGGTGATTTCGGAGCCATTTTTTGGAAAAAACCATAGGCTATAGCCTTGGGTAGTTTTCAGAATTTTGACGTTTTCTTAAAATGGCCGTAACTCGAAAAATATTTGTCAGAAACAGCTCAAACTTGCTACACAGCATAAGGACATCAATATGTATCAGAAATTGTAATAAAAATTTTGGGTGATTTTGGAGCGATTTTTTGGAAAAAACCATGGGCTATAGCCTTGGATATTTTTCACAATTTTGACATTTTCTTAAAATGACCATAACTTGAAAAATATTTGTCGGAAACAGCTCAAACTTGCTACACAGCATAAGGACATCAATATGTATCAGAAAATGTAATAAAAATTTGGGGTGATTTCGGAGCCATTTTTTGGAAAAAACCATGGGCTATAGCCTTGGTAATTTTCAAGAAATGGCCCTTTTTAAAATGACCATAACTTGAAAAATTTTTGTCAAAATCAACTCAAACTTGCTACACAGCATAAGAACATCATGTCCTTATGCTGTGTAGCTACACGTGTAGTGTACCTTGTATGTACTAAAAAATTCTCCCCTTGCTTTGATCTCCATAGAATTTTACTACAATATACGTGTATTCTAATTAATGCCCACGACTCATGCATGCATGGATAAGATCATCTAACTATTATTAAAGTTAAATAGCATAATCTTCATTGAAAGTGGGTGTGGTCACAATGAAATGAAATGGCAGCAAGTCTGAGCTTATTTGCAACAAACAGTCAGCAAGATAAGACTAAACTGCTGTCCAAAGACTTCTCTAGCAGTAAGAGAGGTCATACAGCACAACAATGGCGTGGCTTGGGGCTAAGCCCATTAATGTTTTACGTTCTTCTAGTTCCAGTACATGTATT